CTTGAAAAACCAGTTCCTATTCGAATAAATGGTGATTTATTCGAATAAATCAGATTGAAAAACCAGGACTTATTCGAATAAGTGTTGATTTATTCGAACAAAACAGGTTGATTTCAGTCACAGGAAAGATCACGACTTATTCAAATAAACTAAAGATTATTCGAATAGATAGGCAACTTCTCCATACAAAGGCTGATCTAAAATGTGTTTTAAAGGTAAGATGATAAGGGAATGAACCTTAGAGATGCCATACTATTTAACACATAATCTAAGACCTAAAACACTACCCAACTAAAGAAACAACCTCTTCGGTCTTGTTCCTTCCACCGATGCTCAAGTCCCTTCTTCACGGACGGATATGAACTTGTTGTAGCTTTGATTCTTAGCCTTGATGCACAATATGATGATGATGTTTTGTCACCCTTTTGTCATTATCAAAACCTAAAAGACAATGAGCAAAGGACATTGCAAAAATATATATTCATGATAGCACATTGTCCAACACCTGCATCTACTACGTAAATCTATCCTGGATGGGAAATCAGAAAGGTTCTTCTATGATGCTTTATGTATCAATTTAAGAATTCTCAGACATCGAAAACAACTACAGAGAGAAATCGATCCAAGAGAAACCTAACCCCAAAGCGCTGACTGGAGCTGGAAGATGTTCTCCAAATAGAGCAGGATTTAACAATGAATGAACTGCGTTTCACAAAAGATGTACCGTCACCGCAAGAATAGACGGACAAGCTTGCACCAAATTGATTAGAACAAATAAATAGAACAAAAAAAAAGTACAAGCAGAAATGTGCTGAAAGTACCATGTATTTGCCTAAGAAAATGCACCTGAAACAATGGAATTTAACCAATCGATGACCTCTCTTCGTTTCCGGAGCTTAGGAAGACACACAGGATAAGATACCGATAACAAAGACGGATCCTGTAAGGCGTAGTGATACGAAAAATGATTTATACCCTTTTCTGTCCTGACAACCGCCAGATCTGAGACTCCATCTCTGCGATTCAGATAGTAGCAAACTTCCTTCCGGCCCTTATCGGCAGAAGAGGACACCTCATTCCAACTTACGTACAGCAAAGCCTTCTCCGTCGTGGCCATCCACCAAGAACCTCCTTACTATACGTCGGAGTAAAGAAGACCACGGATGTGGGAAAACTAAATCGAGAAATCTTCGGCGATGGAGGAGTTCCGAACACAAACGCCGGAAATAGGTATTTATAAAAGGCTAGGGTTTTCCGGATGAACGGTGGGAGGGAAACCGCTGGTTTACTACTGATATAACCTTGAGTGTTACTCAGTACCTTTTAAAATTTTATTCAAAACTTTAACGCTATTTCCAAACAAGTCTTACAAGTGACACCCCTCCCACTTTATTCATTACAAATGAGAAATGGAATGTTCTCAAGTTTATCTGAAATATATTTCGGGGTGTTTTTAATGATAAGATTTTTCAAGTTCACATTATTTTAAATATATTACGAGTGTCCTTAAAATTAGTGGTAATGTACTCATTGAGTACATTTCAAGTATTTGACCGTTAGAATTAAAAGTTCTAATCCTAACGTCTTGATTGTATAAATTACCACACGAGTAAACTACTCTAGACTGGGTCTAGAGTGATTTACTGGATTTAGATTCTAAAAGGATTCGAGAAATAAAGATTGACCGGAAAGACTGTAGGTGAGAATACTCGTAGCCCAATTGTTATTAAGAAACATGAGCAGAGGGACAAATTACATAACTTGCTCTAGACAGCTAAAACTCACATCCCTTCCATTGATGATTACACATGTCTTTATAGTGTAAAGATGGGACGGGGTGGTATGCACCCACGCCTTGTCATGTTCCTTTGACTGCTATGCTCTGTAGCTTTTCCATTGGCGTGTAGTATTCGACCTAGAGGCTTGAATGTATCCGTTTGTGCAGGGGATCTGGTCTGACCAGATTACTCCAAAACACTACTTTCTAAGTGTGACAATCTCTTAGTGTGCACGCGTCCCAATGTCGCACCTAGGCGATTTCTTGAAGGGACGCCCTGGTGCTCTGAAGATTTTTCTAGCAAGACTAACTTCTTGACCATTTTCCATCATCTCCGATGGAGCCAAAATCTCACCTGTTTTTGGCTTTGGGGTGTGATGGAATAAATCAAAATGGATATCTAAACTATTTGCGCTTCTTTAATTAATGAAGTAGCAGTTAGTCAAGCAATGCAACTTTCTACGTTGAGCCGGGGGTCTCTTTGAAAACAGTCTCTCTACTTTCGAGTAGGGGCAAGGTCTGCGTACACACACTCTCCCCAGACCCTACTCTTGTGGGATTTAACTGGGTTGTTGTTGTTGTTTTGTACTAGCTTCTTGACCAGTAACGTTGTGGTTGTCCAATCATCCAGTTGGTTTGAGACCCACCGAGTTAGATCTGTACTCCCTCATTTCCTTCTTTTGGAATGTACTTGGACCCACCCGGTGGGATCTTGTAGTGCTTGACCCGACCAGGGTCTTGGGTGGGAATACACCCATCACGTCTAAGGTCATGCTCTCCCCAACTTATTTTTTTACTCATTACTTATTCTTATTGGAATCAGGTCAGGCAAGATCAAATTAAACTAGATCAGATCAGAACTTATTCTTATTAGATCAGAACCAATTAGATCGGACCTTTCTTAAAAATTGGTGAAAGTTTGAACAACTATGCCAGATGTACACCAAAAATGCAGTGTTATTAAACTCGGACTAGATCGAACGGTTCGACCGGTCAAATCGTGATCCTGACACACAACCGGTCTGGTCCAACCCCCCAAAACCCGGAAAACTCAGAAAAAACTGGATCGACTCGGAAAAACTCAAATTGACCTGGGATCCGTCCTCCCCGCCAGGTCATCCTCCGGTCCGGGTTTTAAATAGTTGCAAAAATGTATCCCAAAAGGATGCATCGATATTTTAACAATTTACATTGGCGCAAAATGCTGTTTCAATTTAAAAAAATTGGACTGTCATTTTGTGTCAGTGTAAATTATCACACTAGCACAAAATATTTGTGCCTGCCTTTGGGGTACAGAGTGAGGTATAATTTTTGGTATACAAATAGCTTAATTCAAGTTCGAAAACAATATCCCACTTTGATAGAAGAGTTGAATGAAATGACTAGCTAATAAGGAATATATTAAAAAAATGAAAATTTATTGGGATTTTAGTTTGACTTGGTATAGTAGCTTGATGATATCATATAAATCCAATAAAAAAACCATGATTTTAAATCATAGCCAATCAGATAAGATCTTTTTAGATTAAATTAATTAAATCCAAAAAAACTAAAATGTAATGCTAATATTTTTTCTATTATTACATAATAATAGTTATACAATTACGAAAAGCAGGGGATTAATATCTCCCACCAATAAGAAAATAAGAAAAGCAAATATATTACTTTGTAAATAAATTTGTTACAAGGACTAATATCGCCCGCTTCCTTAAACAAATATCACATATATTTTGAACATCATCAATATAGTTTCTTTGAAACATAAAATAGAGATAGGCCTTGTTTCGGAACAGTATTTTCGATAAAATTTTAATGGTGTAAATTAATTCAGAAAACACCAATGTTAAATGCTACCGTTGGATAGTCTTTTCAAAACACTAACACTAATCTCTAATGCTGATGCCAAACGGGACCATAATCTATAAGCTTTTGTTTGTTTTCTTAACCAATTTTTACATAAAATAGCCATATATATCAACATTAGCAACATAGTAAAAGAACATAGAAAAATGGAAAAAACGAGCGTATGATCTTTCACATGATTGGAGCATTTCTTTCATTAATAAACTCAAGTAACTCAAGAAAGAAAGGAAATCTTGTAGATTTTATTTTTGATTCATGCACCCATTAAATTGGGAATAATTGAGAGTTGATAGTCTAGAATTTTTTAAGCCTTAATTTTTTGAGCATTTTTACACGAGTCCTCCCTAGGTTTTTTTTCCCTTCTTGGCGGGCGAACATATTCACGGAGCCGTCTTCTTCGCCAAATCTCTGGGTTTTTTTCATTAGCGACTAAATCACGCAGCCCTCTTCTTTCTCACTTCTCTAGGTTTTTTCC